AACCGCCCCACTCCCTTCATAGCCCCTCTTGTCGCCCCACAGTCAAACGGTACCCCCCCCCCTTGACCCCCCCACCTGGGCCCTTCCCCCCTCCCGCGCTCTTTCTCCAGTGGGCTCGCGCCTCTCGCCTTTCCTATTCCGCCACTGGTTCCTCACGCTCTCCCTTCCTTCCATCTTTCAGTATTTTCAGTGTATTGTCTAGAGTAGCGTGGAACATTAGTATATCGTATATTGTGTAGTGAAGAATTGTAGTAGTTAGTTATGAAGCTAGTTGCCGCGAAACAAAATAAAAATCATTAAAATACGGGAAAAAGCAAATAAACAACAATAAATAAACTAGATGTTGTTTACGCATACCGATCACTGAATCGAAAGGCGGTTGTAGCCTGCGGATACCTATACGGTATTACTATTTTTTCTGTTAAAGTGCCAGTGTGCTACACCGGTATTTAAATGCAAGGACTTTATACTTGCACGGGATATTTATTTGCAAGTAGCGCGTTATACATCGTTTCGGTTACCTGTGCGCACCTAGCGTAATGATAAGCAACGGTTTTCGTTCGAGACTGCCAGTCCGTTTATTCATTATAGGGAGTTGCGTTGTTCTGCTACGTCACCAATTCGATTGTCTCCCGGGCGAAATTTCGATCTCCATGAAGCGCCAGGGGGCTGCAACGGGACGAATGCGGCCATCGTCTCGGTTGGAGGGGAGGAATGTAAGCGGGGCTCGAAAGCCCACCCACACTATGCGAAGCATTGGGCGATGCGGGGAAACAACTGGCCTTTGTTTTGCCCGGTGTCGGCAAGAGATGTCACAACAGGCTGTGAGTGACGCTAGAATCAAGCAGCGAAACGCGGGAGAAGACGCACGTGAGCGAAAACGCACGGCTTAAGTTCCTCGGGAGCTGGTGGATTGGTGACAGCCCCAAACACGACCAGATGACCTATGATCAGGCGCCAGAATCGGACCATGGAGTCGAGCCAAGTGGCGGAAACGCCGTAGACCCCACCTTATTTCGGTAAGCGTTTATGTAGCAGTTGTAATACTCACCCCACCGTTATTTAGTATGGGGCGGATTCGCCAGAAATAGCAGAGCCTAAAATAGGACTGTGACGGTAAGGAGGGGAACGCATTATAAATAGTGGGAAGCCGCCGCCTCTCGGCGGCTCTTCTGTACAAGACACCTGCCCTGAGAAGGTGTAAGTGTGCGTGTATACGGTGCTATGCAGTAGAACGCCTCTTCTATCCGGTAGTACAATGAGGACTTCATGTATTGTTAATTTAGAGATTTAGTAAAACACTAGTGAACGTTGCTCTTGTATTATATAATATAATATAGGCGGGCACAGACAGCCGATTACTATGTTCATGGATTTACTTGCCTGCCAGCGGTCTTTTGTCAATGCAAACAAAATTAAATTCAGAGCGCGTAAGTTTCCGATACCGTGATCGATCGGCAAACCTGAACATAAACTATGTAAATATTCTATTTATTAGCCAGTATTGGAAGTAAGTTTCGAAGCCCAGCCAGTTCTGATTTTGGAATTTTTCACTGCAACTATATAACCTAGAATAAAATCCCCCCAAGGCATTAGCCATTCCCAGTCAAATATTACCGGCCACTGACTGGGAACCGGCCTCCTACTTCCAACACCGTATTAAAGCATTAATTATTTCCCATCGGTGAGCATCGTTAATAGTAATATGCAACTGCCCGGCATACACTCAAAGCCTGTCTGAATGCATAGCAGGTTACTGCGTCGTAAAAACACTATGTACTTACTACGGAATCAATTACCGATTGTTGTTGTTGCAATCGTCATCCATCGGGGGACCGCGAGATCAGGGCAGGAAAATCTCCAAACCGAGACGGTGACGTCACTGAAATGCGCATCACATGTGTCAGACGGTAACCGGCCCGCTCAACATACGTGCTTTGTCACCCAAAACAACAGTTTTAGACAGCGGTGTAGAAATTAAGTTTTGAACACGCGGAGTCCAACGGACTCCTACCTCAAAAAGGGAGTCCGCAGCAAAATGAGGGAGTTCCGCGTCTGTATTCAAAATTAAAGATATTACAATAACGCATGTGCTTATATTTAACATTCATGCGGTTGCACGTCTGCCAAATTTTTCTTTGGACTTTTTACTGGAAAAATCGGTAATTCCGCGAGGCCGTGCTCTGGAACGAACTAGTTAGAATGGCAGAATTTTCAGGGAGTTGCACACGGACTCCTGCCATATGTCAATCAGGGAGTCCGACAGTAAATCAGGGAGTATTTGACTCCGGACTCCCGTTAATTTTGCACCCTGGTTTAGGGTGTTGTATATAATTATATATATATATATATATATATATATATATATGAATGAAATGAGGTGGATAATGAATCCACAGTCAACAACATGCAACAATATCAGCAACATCAGCAGTAACATCATCGTCAGCAGCATCAGCAGTATCATGCATCATCATCGTCATCATCATGATCATCATCAGCAGCAGCAGTAACATCATCCGTCATCGTCATTATCAAGATCATCATGATCATCATTCAGCAGCAGCAGNCACTTTGGGTGATTTCCGTTCTCAATTTTAAAGGGACTACACGTCAGCGAATTTTCGCAATGGTAAAATTTGTAAAGAAATTGCCATTTTTTTAGCATTAAAAGTAAGAACTAAACATGTATTTCTAAATGATATCCTGCAAACTCTCACCTGATAAAAAATGTTTTTACGTTGGTTAAATTTGCAAAAATCTATGACGATTTTGTAATTTCTGTTGTCTAACACTATTCCACCCAGACCTGTTCAGTATACGTGGCGTCATCTCTGTTGTTTCACAACAAGCAGGCAAATAGGGCATATAAAGAAGGATATAAGCATGAAAAGTAAACAGAAACACATAAATTATATATTTTCATAACATTTTATTTGTAGCAAATAACACACATAATATTCTACTTGATGGTGCTACGAAATTCGTGACGGTAATCACTATTAAGTCTTGAAGTGCATCATATGCAGGTTGACCTGTATAGCAATTAATATATCACATTATAATGATACATATATACATGTACATGATATTGATATATACTGTATAGATAAATACACCACAGAATGTGGCCACACCTCTCCCACCCCTACCACCGCTCGATCGCAGACGATCATGGTGAAATATAACCAGCTACGCACTACAGATGGCTATCGCGTGTACACACAACACACACACACAACACACACACACAAATCCACGCGCGCGCGCACACACAGATATGTGTAATACGCCATGCTGTGACTCTCTCTACTGTGGCGCTGCGATATGTTGGCTGTGGTGTGTGGTGGTGTTGGTCGCGTGCAAGTGGTGATGGACATTGGATAGAGTGATGACGAAGGTATGTGATAATGACGGAGGGATGCAGCTGAGGAGGTGCAGGGAGGCGCCAGGCGATAGTGTATGTGCACGCCCACATTCCGTTCTCGAGGCACTGCTTAGAGCTGCGCGTGCGTTGCGTGCCATGCGTGCGTGCGTGTCGTGCGTGCGTGCGTGCATATAGTGCTGTGATTCGTGTGTGTGTGTGTGTGTGTGTGGCGCGCGATGCGAGGCGTGTGCGTGTGCGTGATTGCGTGTGCGTGTGCGTGTGTGTGTGTATCTGTGTATGCGTGTTTGTATATATAATTATTGTTTTATTTTTACTTAAATTACATCTCTATCACTTATCACTTATATACACTATAGAATTTAATGTAACATGTCATATACTGTATCACTGTCTAGTTGATTTAGACACCAGCGAATTACTTGGACAAGGAATCGATATCACATATAGATATCTAAATGTACATGAGATAAGTTAATTATTTAAATATACGTATAGATGGACGAAATTAGATTACTTTGATACTTTAGAAACGTGAAATCCATTCGCGCGTAAAATCTCGAAAAAATTATGATCAATAACTAAAATTGTAAACAATTAATTCGTATTCACATATTAAATGAACGAAAAAAAATCTGCAAAAAAAAAATCTGAAATAAATGTTGCTGCAAAACTGTTCATCGTAAAACTTCGACTATTATATAATAATCGTTAACGTAAATTAAACATAAAATTCATATTCACACATCAAACACGCTAAAACAATCTTATATCTTCCATCACAAATCTCACGCCTCTCCTCAACACCTCTAGAGAACAACTCGATCGCTGTATAATATACAGGGGTAGAAATTAACTTTTGAACACGGGAGTCCCACGGACTCCCTACCCTAAAAATGAGGGAGTCCGCAGCAAAATGATGGAGTCCGCAGTCTAAAGTTCAAAATTAAAGATATTCACAATAACATGTGCTTATTTAGAAAATTCATGCGTTTACACGTCTGCCCAATTTTCTTTGGACATTTGCTGAAAAAATACGGTAATTCCGGGAGGCCGTGCTCTGGAACGAACTAGTTAGTATGGCAGAATTTTCAGGGAGTCACACGGACTCCTGCATATGTCAAATCAGGGAGTCCGAAGGGGAGGAGAAGGAGGATGGCGGAAGGAGTGGAGGACGTAAAATGCGAAACCAGGAGGGAGAAGGAGACAGCGGGAAAAGGAGGGGTAGAGATGGCAGGAGAAGGGGAGAGTGTGGGAGGGAGGGGAAGAGAGGACATGGCGGGTGAGTATATGGGACGCAGTAGTAGCAGCAGTGGTGTCAGTGTGAGCGCAGCTTCGCTTCATTACCCGTGGCGTTGGTGCAGCAGCAGCAGCAGCCAATAGTGAATAGATCACTGTGTTTCTCGCGCTCTCTCTCGCTCTCCCTCTCTCCCATCCGCTCTCTTTCTCTCTCTCTCTAACCTCCTCTATCTCTCTAAAACAGGTGTTTGTGAAGTCAGCCCACGAGGCGGTAGAGTATGAGAAGGTAGCGGTGGATCCTGGTTTCCCCATCCTCTCTCTCTCTAACCTCCTCTCTCTCTCTCTCTAACCTCCTCTCTCTCTCTATGGCAGGTGTTTGTGAAGTCAGCCCACGAGGCGGTAGAGTTTGAGAAGGTAGCGGTGGATCCTGGTTTCCCCATCCTCGCTGACATGAACTTCAATAAACAACAAGAGCACGTCTATGTGATGAGCATCAACAAGGTAGGTGGCAGCACCGTCCCACACGTACACTCGCGTATATTTCGAGAGCACATATAAGTGCATACTTTAGGGCCGTATCTTAGTCTAATCTTAGCAGACACCTCCGTAGAACGGACACCTGTGTGTAAAAGACACCTCCGTAGGAAGGACACCTGTGTTTAAAGGCCACTTGGGTGATTTCCGTTCTCTTTTAAGTCTTGAAGTCATCATATGCAGGTTTGACTGTATACATATTTAATATACACATATAATATACATATATACATGTACATATATATATATGTATAGAAACATACACCACAGGAATGTGGCCACACCTTCTCCCACCCCCCTACCACCGCTCGATCCAACGTCATGGTGAAAAAAACCACTACGCACACAGATGGCATCGCGTGTACACACACACACACGCGCGCACACACAGATATGTGCACGCCATCTGTGACTCTCTCACTGGCGGCTGCATATGTTGGCTGTGGTGTGTGGTGGTGTTGGTCGCGTGCAGTGGTGATGGATTGGATAGAGGAGGATGTGAGATGAGGAGGGATGCAGCGAGGAGGCAGGGAGGCAGCGATGTGTATGTGCACCCACTTCCGTTCTCCCACTCTTAGACTGCGCGTGCGTTGGTGCGTGCATGCGTGCGTGCGTGCGTGCGTGCGTGCGTGCG